AGTGTGCGGGAAATACCTGCCTTGATTGACATCACTGAATGAGGCGTGTCCTGGGAACATCAGCCCACTTACTTTATTACTAGTATTACTACAGTTATTATTTTTATTTTGTTCTCAATAATTGGTTGTCGATTTGTGACCATAAGCAGGCACGCTGCAGTGTTCCTGAGTCTGAGAGCAAGCCGGGGCAGATCTGTAAGTGTGAGAGGAAAGCTTAGTCCCATTAAGTCCAACTTAACGAGTTTAATATTTAAATATTCTTCAATAAAGAAAATGCTTTCTTACAAAATCACAAACATATTGTATCTTTTGGAAAGTATCTCACAAATCAGCAGCTGTCTCTGCGAAACAAACATCACAATGTGTAAAAGCTACAATTTTCAAAATAAAAGCTTTAAAACTGGTCGTTGTTTGTTCAGTTGACCTTTCTTAATATTATGCTCTTATCTGTTTTCCATTTAACTGGACTGCCAGGATGATCCTGCCCCAACTTGTCTCACCAGCGTAGTTCAGGTGCTGAATCTAGAACCAGTTCCACACATTTTCCCACAGAAACCGCTGGCATAGCACCACAAAACTTGCTATTCCCAAAGTTTGAATCACAACTGTCAGTGGCTATATGAGGGGGGAATGCAAAAAACTCACTAATACAAAACCTGCCTAGTAAAAAACTCCAACTTCTGTGAACTTTGGTTCTCAAAATTGTCACATTGTCACAGATGCAGTGGTGGAAATGAGGAAAAACTGGGTTCAAACAGTCGTCTTACGATTTTAGAAGAGACCTGTTGCAGGGTTTGGGAGGGAAATTAACATTTACTGTTGAAAAATCAGACGTATCAGAAAAATGAGACGCAAACCAACCACAACGAGACACAGACATCGTAAAAGAAAGACGAAAAATGACTACAGACAAAATGAAGAGCAGTATGGGAAGCAACCAAAAAGAGACAGAAAACAATTATAAAAGGCGCAAAATGGCAGAAGAGACACCAAAAAGAAAAAGAAACTGTGCAAAAAGAAGTGCCACGATGACTCAGACAAAGCAGCCACAAAGAGACACAAACTGTCTGCAAAGAACAACCACAGAAAGATCAGTCACAAGTTCCAATACTGAAGAAATCTGAACAGGTGGCAAAGAAGAAATTACAGCTCTAAAAATACACACAAGAAAAACTAAACACAAAAATATGGTTTGCTAAATATGAGCAAAGACGCCAGACACAAAACAACAACAGAAATATTGCAACACAACCACAAAGCAAGACGATAGCAAGACTGCCACAAACTAAACATAAAGTAACAATGTCCACGGAGACACAAACTGACTGCAGAGAGCAGTTGCAAGAAGATGAGAGGCAATAAACATACAACAAGACCAAAAAGAAATGTGGAAAGATCATGAGACAAAAAACCCCCACAAAGAAACTGAAACACAAAGCAACCACAAAGAGAAAAAAGAACACAATCACAAAAAGCTCTAAAAAGTCAACCATGAAGAAACTGAAAGGACACTAACAACTAAAGGTGGCTCACAATGGCAACGAGCTTCAAAAAGGAAAATGACATGAAAGACACAACTGCAAAAACACACAGAAGCAGAGACAACAAACAAATTCCAACAGCCAATTGCCAAAAGTCCAACAAAAAGACTCAAATTGATCAAAAAGAAATGTTAAAGGACAACGAAGTCCACCAATCCAAGCAGATGACAAAGCCACAGCAAAAAAGTGGAAAATGGTAAAGAAAAGATGCTCAAAATGTCCAATAAATAAGTAAACTGGGAATAAAAACCCCTAAAGCATGAAGTTGACGGTGCTGTGTAGAACAAAACTATAACAAACAGACACAAAAACACATAAAATTAAAGGAAGGAAACATGAAGAGAACCAAAATGACTCCAGAGTGATGTCGAACAACACAAAGAGACTCTTCTTTGCAGGAGGGGAAAGTGGCCCGTTACACATCCCCCCTTTTTGTTACCAATCCAAAACTCAAGCACTGCTCTCATGGACAGTTTAAAATGTTCTTAGACCAGGATATCTGTCTGTGGGTAACAGAATCACTGCTTTAGACTCCAGACAGGAAAAAGGGAGGAAATGCAACAAGAAGACAAAAGAGAAGTTGCACTAACAGAAAATGTTTGAGCAATAAACTCGCACATGATGAAGATTTTTTATCATGCATAGGAACATAAATTTGGTGCAAACTATTAAAGGACACAGCAGAAAACCTTGCAGTAGAGTGTTTCACTGCTTGCACAACAGCTCACTCATGGTTCGGAGGGCGTGTCCTGCAGAACTCTACCTGACAATCTGTCAGTGGCTGCAGAGAGTAGTGACAGCAGGGCATGTGAAATCACGGCTGAGCTTTTCAGGCATGCGTTTAAGCATTCGACCTGGAGACAGCTTCGGGGGTGGGAGGGTGGGGTCACTGCAGCCTGGGGTTCGAGTGGGTGGAGCTACACAGGCTGAAACACGAAAGATTCCCCGGAACCCGACAGGTCAAAGAACACCAGGAGTGAAAACGCAAGGAGGAGATTTGTGTTGTTGTTAGGAAAAGTCTCCGAGCCAGGCTTCAATAAAGTAAATACAACAACATCCTCAAAAAATTGTGGGTTTTAAAAATAGTTTAAAATCTTCCAAAATGAACTAAAACTATCAACAGAATGTGAAGAAGCAGCTGTTAAAGTGGAGTAAACCAGGGCGGGGCTGGTATAATACCAAGATGTCCCAAAAGATGGAGCAGTGGAATCTTTATTTAATCAGTTAAGTCGTTAAACAAATGTTTTTATTTGCAACTGTGGCAAAGGTGAAGGAAGTCGGGGTAAACAGAAACATCATGACACACCTGGGGGTGAAAACTGCTACTAAATTAGTTACAAAAATCTCCTTTGAAGTGACCTTCAGCTGGCGGCTGAATGAGATAGCAGCAGCAGCCAAGATGGTGCTGGTGGAGTCAGTTCAGACATTTGGGTGAATGATTCAGACGCTGAGTGTTAGGTGTGGCTGTGTGCAGGCAGGAATAGGACCCAAGGTGCAGACTCCGGAGACAGACGTGAACTCAAAAAAAGGCTTTAATTTAATACTCAAAATATAACAAAACTAAAAAAAAACTCAAAACAAACTTAAACTAGAGAAATGACAGAACACACAGCTAAGAAAACGGTACACAGAGAAACACAGGGCTTAAATACACAGAGGGAGCAATCAGGGAATGAGTAACAGGAGGGAAACACAGCTGGGGCAAATCAGAACTGACGAGACCAAAGAAGCGTAAACTGAACACACTGAGAAAAGACAGAGACCTTCAAAGTAAAACAGGAAACACATAACACAGACTGAACAAAGACACAGCCTCACATGTAGGCACTACAGAGGGAACAGAGACGTGGGACCAGGGCAGACACAAACACTGACTGGACACGGGGATATAGGAACTAAGGATACACATAGACGCGAACTAGACAAGGGGATGCAGGTGATAGGGGAGACAGAGCAACTAAAGAAGACAGAGACATAAACCATAAGACAGAACTCAAAGAAACCAAAAACTAGAAAATATAAATAATATCATAAACTCAAAAACCCTGGGTCAACGACCCAGGCATCCTAACACTGAGTGATACCGAGGACACGGTTAGAGAGTCAGCTGTGAGGAAACATGAGAGACAAGCGCTGGGGTTAGCCAGCAGGCAGTGAGTGCACTGAGTGAGGAGACAGTGACGGATGATTCTCTCCAAAATGAAGCAACAAAAATTCAGAAACGCTAAAATCTTAAATCACCTGAGCATCGGGCCAAAGCAAAACTATGGGAAGGAAACTGCAGCGAGGTGCGTCTGTGCAATGACCAGCTAGCTTAGCAGCTGATTATTTAGCACTCCAGTCTCTGGTGTGGAGATTTCTGGTGTCATCACTAACACTATTCAGGATCTGTGTGGGCACACAGGCACAGACTAAGATTCAGGACCCTTAGCATCAACATGTTCAGTTCCAGATGCACAGTAATCATATAATGTCATAGATTGTGTGTTTTGTGTGTGGTGTGTACTGAATGAGGCCAGTAAAGTCTACTCTGCTCTTTTTCTAGCCCCAGGCGATGGGGGCAGCCACAAAACGGGAATGGAGCTTCAAAATGGTTGATTATGAGCACCAGGGTGGCTCCATGTGCATCTTTTATATACAGTCTGTGGGAGTTATTGACGAGGCAGACGATTCTGCCACTCGAGGTAGCAAAAAGTAAAACGAAGGCAGACAGTTACCACACACCCTTTGTTTCTTCTACTGTTTTTGATAAATACACGCAGAACTGCTCCTTACTATTTCTTTCTGTATTCATTCCTTCAGTCTTTGTTTTTATGCTGAAAAATAAATAAAAAGTATTGAAGTTTTAACAATTTTTAAAACTGTTTTTAAAAATATAGATCAAGCGACACAACACGAAGCGTGATTTATGGAGTTTGTTGCGCGTGTTGTGCATTTTTCTACAAAATAAAGCAGTTTTATTTAAAAAAGAAATACTTTTCACCCAGATGGTTAGAGAGTCTTCAGGATATACCCTGAGAAGCTTCTGTTTGACATCTTCTGAACGATCTGAAGCTTTCCTCTGCTGCTGGTCCGGAGGCACAAACTGGGACCAGCCTAAGCAGAGAGGCCGCTAATGTCCCCACTTAAGTGTCCCTTTGATGTGACATTAGGGCAGAAATGGGTCTTGGAAAAGTCCCATGTGGGCTCTATGAAAGCCGCTCTGGCAGCGGACACACAAAAGGGCAGGGCCCCTCCTGTGTGTGTGCTGACATTTAACGCTTGAGGGTTTTTCTTGTGTCTGAGCTGATTAGCGCTAAAATAATACAGGAACAGTCAGCTGTGTCAATGTGTCTTCTTTTCACCTTTGCACTGAAGGTGTGTGTGTGTGTGTGTGTGTGTGTGTGTGTGTGTGTGTGTGTGTGTGTGTGTGTGTGTGTGTGTGTGTGTCATTGTGGGCGTCTCTGTGAGTAGCGCAGCCTTCTCTCGTCAGGCCACTCCCGGGAAGCGCACTGCTGCTCCGCCTCGCACACGGACGCACGGACGCTGTCCTCGCGCGCCTCGGCTGCTGTGCGCTCTTCTCCGTCCGCGCGCGTCTTCTCCTCTTTCTACTGTCCGGATCTAGGGGGGGCGGGGGTGTCGAGGTGGAGGCATGTAGCAGAGGATCCACGGCGCAGAGCGAGCAGCATGTAGCAGCACCTGGAGCTCCGCGAACATCGCCCGCCTCCCTCCTCCTCCGGCTCCTCTGCCCTGCCGGAGCGCTCGTTGCTCCTCTCGGGCTGAAGCATCGCCTGCACCGGGATCTTTCCGAGGATTTTTTTTCTGTAGGGGTGGGTGGGGGGTTTGTTTACTGCACGGGAGTGTGAGCGTGTTCCTCCCCGCCGCTCTGCACCTCTCGGTCGATGGTCGTTGGGGAAGCTTCCATCTTGAGTCCCGTGTCTACCGAGAGAACCATGGCGAGCGACTCCCCGGCACGGAGTCTGGACGAGATAGACCTGTCTGCACTACGGGTAAATGTGTCCCTGCGTGTGTGATGAGCTGTCTGTGCCTGTGCGCGTGCGTGTGAGTTTGCCGAACACCTGTCCCCCCTCCTCCTTTTCTCCTTCTTCTCCTCTCCATCCTCACCGGTGATGGATGCGTCTCTGTGCCTTCCTCTCCTTTCTTGCTTCTGCCGTGCTTGCGCGTGCACACGAGTTACACTGTGCTGTATGCGGGGGGGCTGTGATGCTCGTGATTGAGGAAATCACATCGGATATCAGAGTGTGGGCTCAGGCAGCCTCCTGTTGTTGTTTGTTGCTTTTTTATTTATTCTAAACAATTGGGACGCGATGTAACGACGCTCCGAGCTGTGCGCGTGCACCAACCCCGTACGCACACACACCTGCGCGTGCGCACGGCAGCAAGTAGAGGCTGCTGTGTCTGTGGTATGTGGGGCAGATGTTAAGCTGCCTGCTCATTGACACTTTCACAGCACACACAGATACGGAGGCTTGTGGTGCACGCGCTCACTTGCCTCACTCGTGCACGCGCGTTTTGCTCTAGGTTTCTCACTCTAACACACACACACTCACACACACACCGTGAATAATAGCGACGATAACCGCAACAGGAGCGAGTTCCGCCATTTCGCGATGTTGTGGCGACAGCAGCAGCAGCAGCAGCAGCAGCGTGCACTGTGTGCAAGGGGTTATGTGCGTGCACGTGCGCGCGCCCCCGCCAGGATGTGAGATGTGCAGAAGGAGACAGTGCAGGAATGTGAGAGTGTGTGTGAGAGGAAAACTAATGATAGAATCACATTTGTATAAACTTTCTTATTTTTTAATTCAGTGTGTGTGAGTGAGTGTGTGTGTGTGTGTGTGTGTGCGTGTGCGCGCGTGTGTGTGTGTGTGAGTGAGTGTGTGTGTGTGTGTGTGTGTGCGTGTGCGCGCGTGTGTGTGCGTGTGCGTGTGCGTGTGTGAGGCACAGCTCCCCTTTCTTTGACGCTTATGCAACACAGATGTACCTGCAGAGTAACAATCAAGTCTGGACATGATCGACCGGGTGGGACTGCAAGCCTGTGTGTGTCTTTGTATCTCTAAAAGGCGCACGCACAGACACACACAGACACACACAGACACACACATCGCTGGGATAAATAAAGACAGAGGAGTCTGTGTGTGTTTTCTTGTAAAAATCCTTTGCAGCCTCCATGAGTAGCTGAAATTAGGTCACCCAGGACGCAGCAGATAGAGCTGGGGGGGGGGGTTGCGTGACGCAAAGCCTGTCGCAAGCACACTCACACTAGCACACTTCCTGTTTCTGCAGAGTCCCAAATGATCTTGTGTGATCCCCTCCTCCTATAGGCAAACCTGCTTCCTCCTCCTGGATGCTCAGGCTGGGGTTAAGCTCCTCTGATAGCTCCGGTCAGATGTTGTATTAATAGCTGTTTGAGGCTCACATGGGGACGTAACCTTGGCGTCTGTCACATTCCATTATTTTACAGTCGCCTGCCTGAAATGGGGCTGAGTCAGGAGGGTGAGGTGGAGGGTGGCTTTGTAGATTTGACGCCGGCTGGCGGAAACAGGACAGGTGAGACGGTCGGGGACATTTGAATGAAAGGGGATGGTGTCAACCGAAAGGAGCGCGGTCAAAATCACAGCTGTGCATCGGCTGCAGGCAGCATCGTGGTGTTCATGAAACAGTGCAGTCGTGGATGTTTCAGAGACCACAGCCCCTGAGATCAGGCAGCAAAGGTCCAAAAATCATCCTGCAGATGGAAGGAGACACAAAACGCACAGCGCTGCTTTTTATCTCCATCGTCTCTGTGGGTCTCTGTGGCTATTTTGTGTTTCTTTGTGATCATTTTGAGTCTCCTCGTGGTTATTTTAAATTTCTTGGTGTTTTTTTTTATTCTTCTTGGTATTCTTGAGAAGCTTTGTGGTCGTTTTGTGTCTCTCTTTGGTTGTTTTTGTCTGTTTATGATCCCTTTGAGTCTCTTCCTGGTTGTTTTGTGTTTCTTTGTTGTACTGAGTGTGTTTGACATTTTGCAGCTGAAGCCCACAGGCCTCCTGACCCCTTGAGTCTTGAGCCCAGTTGAATCATTTAGTAATCCACTCATTCTTTATAAGACAGTCAGTGTCGTCTCCTCTGGTGTCTCAGCAGTATCCGCTTAGCCGCTCAGCTTTTGAGAAGAAGTCCCAAAGTTCAGTGGTTATGCCCAAAAGTAGACGTGGAACACTGACGCTGTTTAATCCAGTAGTTTGGATTAACCTGAGATCCCTAGAAATGTTCGTCAAAATGACTCGATTTATGCAGAAAAACCTGTAGCTTGAGGCTGAACCGGTTTGTCTTAGCTAGAGGTTTGTTTACACCCAGCGTGAGCGTCTATATGTTCCAAAGATGTTTTTCTCAGCCAATGAGTGAGCAGAGTGATGTCTTACAAAGGAATGAGAACAATGACAGCTTATTCACGTTGTTCTTTTGGGTTTCCACTGTGGTTTTGCTGCACTGTTGAATTTGCAGAAGTGGAGATGATACCTGTGGCAGACAATGGTCTCGGCCCTGCTGCATCGTTTTGCGTTCACAGAGCTGCAGCGGCACTCAGCTCGTGTACGCAGTGCTCCAGTGTAACAGGCTACAGTTTAAAGAAGGGGTTAGCGAAGGAAAACCTCGAATCCTGAGAGGATTAATTAGAGGTAAAAGGAATATTTCTGGTGCACAGCTCATGAGTTTCCTCAAATATGTGCAGGAGGTGTAGCGATGACTCTGTTGTGGAAAATGCTGGTCCCCAGCTGCAGACTGCTTGTGGATGCAAACTTGTGTTTTACATGTCAGTGTGAAATCTCATTAGCCGCCCCTCAGGTTAAATGCAGACCTTTGTTTCTGTAGCTTTTCCCCTCATTTGCCATCCAAATTTCTTCTTCACGTCAGGTGTTTGTCATACATGTGTGGTCTCACGGCTGGTAAAAGCTGTGCACAGGTGTGTGTGGATGCACGCTAGGCTCGTTCCTCCAGGATTAGATGTGCTTCTGTTTGACCTTGACTGAAAAGGAACACTGCTTTTTAAGCTAATCCCCTTCAGGAGGCTCTGCTGTAACAGTCCCAACGCTCTCCTGTGGCCTACTGTACACCAACACACACAGACACGCATGCACGCACACGCAGGTGTGCTAATACCAAACACGCACCACTCAGGTATGCTTAAAGATCGACGTGTGTGTTTTTGAATAAACCTGAATATAAGATTATCTTGTGTGTGTGTTTATATGTGGGTGGGATTTGACCTGTGTGGGTTGTACCTGTATGTGTACCATGTGTTAGTAGTTGCGTTATAATAAGAAATAAACACATTTTTTTACATTTCAAGGGAAGATTTAAAACCAAATGCACGGTTTTCTCTGGGCTGATTTGACCCGTCTGCATTGATTTGGTGTGCCCAGTTTTGGAGACGCTCTCTGTCTCCTGACTGCAGTGGAAACGGCTCCTGTGGCACCCAAAGAATCTCTTTTTTCAAAATGTCCGCAGGAACTACTTTTTCTTCAGAACTCCACCTGACAGTCGGATCACTGTGCAGAAGGAAGTGGTGAGAGGTTTGTCTTGCCTTTGCCTGAACCATGGTGTTAGTCAGCTGTGTGCTTCTTTTAGTTCCATAGAAAGGAAATAGTTTTGAGTGAACAGCTCAGCTGGGGGTGCTCCCCTTAATGTTTCCATCACGAAGCTCTTTCAAACTATTACACTTCTAGGAGCAAGTCCTTCCACTTGGCTGCCATCTTGGTCAGGTATTTTGAAGTTCTTTATCAACGTACGTTTCCCATTAATGGTAGATTTAACCATCAGTGTGGTGTACTGAATGAATTGATTAAGGTGTTCAGTGGCAATGTTAGGTTTCCAGTATTCAGGAAGCAGTAAAACGTGACATTAACAGGAATAGATCTGAATAATGTGTGCTTTTTCCACACAGTCCACCCGAAACTATAATCTAACTTTTCTGTGGCAAGATGAGAGATCGCAAAGTGAGATTCTGGTGAATAAGAGGCATATCTGGCTCTGCCGAATGAATCGAGTCTGTAAGAGTAATGCAGAGGTTATCTACTGAAGGACTAATAACAGTGTGGTGACAGTGGGAGGCTTTTTACAGGGTAATACCACAGGTATGCATTGCTCAGTCACCCTTTTAATGAGTGCATGCATGAAGGTCAGATTCCACTTTGAATGGCTTCATCCTTCTTCTGTCCTGCTCAGCTGTGAACCACAGTTAAGTTCTCCTGAATAACGTTGTGCTTTTTGTTCCTTCTCTTCCCTCTTTAACCTCTACCTCCCACTCTCTTGTCTCTCTTTCACACCCAGGACCCAGCTGGTATCTTTGAGCTGGTCGAACTGGTTGGGAATGGCACCTATGGGCAGGTCTACAAGGTAAGGCAGTGTGCAAAAACAGGCTTTTTCCTTTTCCTTGATTGTGTGGAATTAAATCCATGATGAGAGGCAGTAGCAATGGCAGTGCCATTTTTATTTTTCATCAGTCACAGCTCTAAAAAGAAACCCTTAGTCTCAACTTGTACGGGCCCTTTGTGTTGCCCCTCAAGTCATCTCTAAAACTGAAAAGACTTTTTAGCTCCTTTCTTTTTAAGCAACCCCCGGGGAGGTTTTCTTCTGATTGGCCAGCTTCTGGAAACCTCCAGAGGGGCAGCACCCAGTGATTTCTGATCTGCTACCCTGCTCACGTTGACTACTATTGAAAAAGGAACTTAAAATCTTGAAGCTTTAGATTTGTTTACCCGTATATCTGAAATTACATCATCATGTATGCAATAAGGAAACAGATAATTGTTCGCTTTTAATGTAAATACCAATAGCAAGAATCGATTTCCTGATATTAACAATTCTGCGGCTGTTTTGTATTCACAAGTCGACGAGGGCGGAAGGAGGGGTCAGTAAAAATTTGACTTTAAAAGCAGGAAGCTGCTGCTGTTTCCTACCAGTTTGTTTCCTCGTAATGGTCAACCACTAACCTCAGAGTGTTTCACAGAATATAATAAAATGTTTTCATGTGTCAGTGATTTGTTCTGCTGAACGTGGTGTTAGATTAATTACATTTTGTCCCGTAACTCTGAGAACCACTGAAGGCAAAAAGCTGCGCTACTTTTTTACTGTTGCTGCTGCTCGCCTTGTTTGTAAATGTTGTCTTTTTTTATTGGGATGTGAGCTTTGAGAGACTGAGTAAGAAGTCACGCCATTAGCTCCTCCGTTGTCTCTAAAACAAGCTCTCACAAATGTCATCCCGTCTCATTTTTGACTAAAACTGAAGTTACTACTGACTTTCTCTTAAGACGCCCACGCTGGCTGTAAAAGCAGAGAGGCTGTGTGTGTGCGTGTGTGTGTGTCTGCGTGCGTGTAGTCTCACTTTGAAAGCAATTAACACACTCAGACGTGTCTGCTGATGCACACAGAGCTGCAACAAACTCGTTCCGTCTGCTGGATGTTCTGTATTGATCGTTTCAACGAGGTGACGCCTCCTGTGTGGAAATGATTGATAGAACGAAATTAACCTGTGCTCGTTCTCAAGGCATCGTGGGTAAATTAAGACCTTGTGTAAAGCAGGAGACACCCTGCTTGTTTCAGCAGCGGCACAGAGCAGAGGTTACACTAAAAAAACATCTGAGCAAACTTTAATAATGGTTCAAAGATGAAGTTTTATGTTCTTATTACCCTTCATATATTTTAACTGGAGAAACCACACAACTGGAACACCAGTAGCAGCAAGGAGTCCAATGCATGCCATCCTACTGTTATAACAGCGTCTATTGCACATGCTGCACAGCTGTAGCATTCCTATTTGAAAACTTATAAAAGGTAATGAAGATCAGCCAAACGTGTGCAGGCAGCACGGTGCACAGCGGGGATTGGGAGCAGTGTTGCTCAGGTTTAAAAAGTAATTACTTACTACTTACTGATTACTTCTCCAAAAAAGTAATCCTGTTCCTTTACTGATTACGTATTTTAAAAAGTAATTAGTTACTTAGTTACTTTTGAAAAACAAAATGAATACGTAATAAAGCAATAGGCCTTTCAGCCCAATTCTATTTTTTCTGCATAATCCATCATATAAAATCTAAAAATCATTTTATTAGTTTTAATCTATTAAAATAGTACACATCGCATTAAGCAAAAATGAAATTATATGCAACAGTCTCTGACTTGAAGAAATTGTTTAGCATTTAAACGTATGTTCTGCATATTCCAGTATATAAAATTAATGCTTTGTGTTTACTCTCACTCTTTCAAATAGATGCAAGTAAAACACAGAGAAAAAAATAAAATTAAAAAAAGAAGCAAAGTCATGTGGTTGGAGTCATTTATTTGTGATGCGTTCAATGGCAGGAAATTAGTGCAGGAAATTACTCTGGGTTACAGTTAGCTACGTCATATGTGTTGGTGAGTGTGCGCTTGGTGTTCAGTAAAGGAACACCTGGGCTTTGGCGTCATATCTCTGTCATGCTGGAGTCATGCAAGCGAGGCTGCACTTCCTCCTCAATCCCACAGCCAAGTTTCTGTTGGAAAACCTTCAGACGTCTAATCACTGAGTCATAACTTTGCAGACGAACAGTGACAACAATGCTGAAGATGATGACAAATGCATATTTAAACATTCCCACCAGAAATAATGAAAGGAAAACTACTAGAAACTGTTTATACAAATACAGACAGGTAGGAATGACTACTTTAACAAGTGTTACGAGCTAAATAATCTGGGTAATTCATTGATGTATTGCACGCTGAATTTGATCACAGCCCAATGTCCTGTATTTGCCAATAAAACAAAAAAAAAGCTTTTTCATATAAAAGAATAAGCCAAAAAATAAAATCAAAGACTCAGCAGCACTGACTCCGGTCGTTCTTAATTCTTTTTTCACCTGTTTAGCAGGAGTGGGGCGGGTGGAGGTTTGCCCGGTGCCACAGCGGTCATGTCCGTGGGGGGAGCCGGTGGTTTCTCTGTGAATGTCACATTCCCGTGGCAGCGTGCTCGGTGCTTGCTCAGATTTTAAGTTTAGGTGGAGTTTATTTTCGTTGTGCTTTTTACAGTCAGTTACAATAACTCGTACTGCGTGCTAGCTAGCATGACGGAGTTTCTATACAGCTGGGTGGTGCTATGATGTTACTGATAGTGAGCTTTATTTTATTAATAAGGTTCGTTAGTAGAGTTGCCAACGGCTCCTTAAAAAATGGAATGGTCCCTCATTCAGAGAAAATATTACACGTTTCGTTTTGAGCTGAAAAGGAAAACAGTTTGGAAAAAGACTGTACAAAAGGGTTAGGTTTGTGTATGGGATTTCCTATGCCCCCTGAATGCACCATCGGGGTGCATGTCCGCAACTTTAGTTCAGAGACAAACGGCAGCTGAACAACGGACAGTGTGTGCGTTCATAAGACCGTAAGTTAATGTTTTACTTCACTCAGTTATGTTGGTGTTCAGCCATGAGTGTATTTGATGACTTACCAGCATCTCTCACATGATGATCAGGGCAAGCATTCTACTCATCCTGAAATTCTCCAATATATTCATCATATGAAAGAGGAACACAATCAACTCCGACTAGATGTGCAACGCCTGACAGAATTGATCTCTAGCTCACCTGTACTAGCTCCACAGCATGCCACATCACGGTCTGAGGATGGGACGTCAACCACACCTGCCCACACTAGTAAGCTGGTGCCAATCAAAGGTCAGAAGAGCCCACATCAGCCTGAAAGTGCCCCACAGGTGCCATTTGGGGATGAGTCTCAACATCCAAAGGACAGCCAGCATGGCCTGATTGAGGAGCTCACCCACAGTCTAAATGACGCAGATCTTGACAGGGAGCGCAGCGCACAGTCACCATCACCTTCAGTCGACTCATGCCCTGAATCTCAAGATTTTCTTTCACCAATGACACCAGGTGAGAGGCCCTCTCCACTTCAAGCGTCAGCAGCAAGGGGACGGTCACCGTATCATGCAGGCCAAAGAAGGGTTGACGAAGTGTATGCTCGTCGCCACAGGAACTGCAGTCAGCCTGCCACTCCTCCTAGATTGCCAAGGCTAGGGGCCTGCTATGAAGATGATCCATACTACAGACAAGATGACAGGCATCCTACCCCTGGTCACCCAAGCTGCCCTGACAGTCACTATCGTTCTCCTTATGGATATGGGTATCAGGATTCGAGTTATCCGTACAGGCGCTGTGGTAACTATCCAGATGACCGCCGACAGTGTCCAACCGATCGCCTGCAACCAGGTGGGTGCCCTCAGACACCACTCTCTCTCAGCAGAGCCCAACCGATAGAGACTTATCGTGGACCTCAACCAACGATCCCCGACCTTGTGCACGAGGACCCACGTGAGTTTGCAAGATTAAAGCTAGCTCTAGATAACATACTTCCACTTGATGCTCCTGAACACTTCAAGTTCCAAATCTTGACAGATCACCTTAAGTGTGAAGATGCACTACTTGTAGCTGACTCATACAGTAACAGTCCATTCCCATTTGCTGACACCATGAGAGCACTTACAGAAATGTATGGGCAACCTCAACATCTGGCCTTAAAAAGGATTACCAAACTGATGGATGGACCCAACATTAGGAGTGGTGACATCAGAGCCTTCAAGTCTTTTGCACTACAAGTCCGTGCGCTAGTCGGTATGTTACACCAGTTGGGAGAACAAGGTCGGACAGAGTTGAGGTGTTGACAACTGTTTGCAGAGCCTCCCATCAGAAGGCCAAGCCAAGGAGTTGGTGGATCGCCTGCAGTCTCTCCTCTTGGAGGGTGGATTTGAACTACGACAATGGGCTAGCAATGTCCACACGGTCATCAGCCACCTACCAGTTGAATCCCAGTCAGAGGGTAGCGTTCTCTGGCTCTCCCAGGAGTCAGCTGATCCGCAAGAGCGCACTCTAGGACTCGTATGGCACTGTAAGACTGATGCACTCCGGTACAAGCATCAGCAGAGCGTCAGTTCAGAGCCAACAATGCGCAACATTTATCGGCTGCTCGCCCAGCAGTATGATCCTCTCGGGTTTCTTATTCCATATACAACCAGGGCAAAGGTCATCGTGCAACACCTCTGGGACAAGAAAAGAGGATGGGATGATCCTCACTTACCTGAGAATCTGCTCCACGCCTGACGTTTGTGGGAAAGTGAACTCAGCCAGCTCTCACAGATAACGCTGCCGAGATGCTACACTGACTCACGCTCGGATTGTAGTCACAGCCATCGAAGCCTTCATGTGTTCTGTGATGCCTCTGAGCGTGCCTATGGGTCTGTGGCATATCTACGGACCGACCAAGGAGAAGGAAAGGTCCAGGTGGCTTTCTTGGCTGCGAGGTCGAGAGTTGCACCCAAGAAGCAACTCTCAATTCCAAGGCTAGAGTTGTGTGGA